CCCCAAAACCCCAAAACCCCAAAACCCCATGTCCTCATTTTGTAAATATTTTCCTATTTCGCAAAATCAAATTGAAAGTAATTAAAATTTATTCAGAGTGTAAGAGATATTAATGAGTTCACGACAGTCTCATCAAGCCTATTTCCAAGATTCATTTAATCCTCATTAGCAGAGGTAACCTAGGAATCAGCCTTAAACAAAGCAATATAAGGGTTATCAATCAGAATGTCAAAATAGTCAAAGAATATCACCAGACAGGTCATCTTATATTGCTAGAGATGACTAATCTCCATCTTAGTATAATCCCTAATATTCGCAATATTAATATGATTGGTATGGATCTCCAGAGCCAAAGTAAAGAGAGTTTCAAGAATTAAATGTATCTAATATTTAAAAAGCATAGTTACAAAGAGAAAAAGCATAATTATAAGACAATTTAAAGGATTTGACCTATATGGAATTGCTAGCAGGCTCTAAAAAATAAAACTTGAATTAAAGCGAGATATAGAGCGTTCAAAATGACAAATAATCGAATGTTCCTAGCTAAGTTATGATATCTCCAGATTCTTACTACAACCAAAGAGTGGGATAAGGTAGTATCATAAATAAGAACTATAATAATGAGAATGACAGCTCTAGTATTTAGTAGCAACAGACACCATACTCCAAACTTGGAGATGTAACCCTCAATTAAGAGTCCTCTGATTAGCAATATATTAGAAGATAAACAATGACTCTAGGTGAGCTTAATGCTAGTTAAGAGCCAGCAGAAAGATAAAAGTTGCTTGATTCCTATCTATATTTCAATAAGAACGAGTAATCACCAATAAGACATGAGTAAAGTATTGATAAAGACGATGAAGGACTTAGACCATTATCTTCGATTCACTATGATGGAGTTAAATCTGTTTATCAACAAGAGTTAGAAATTCTAAAATATAGTATAGCCTAATGTCAAAAGTAGGATAAATAAATTGTACCTAATTTTGATTAGAAAGAGAATAAACTTTGGGAAAGTTTCTCAAGAAGTCCATCACCAGAAACTAGAAATAATCAGAATCAGAACATACTCATTGAAAATGAGTATAGCCCTAAGAAGATATAAAATATAAGCAAACCTGAAAATATTTTAAGAAATGAGATTTACATGATAATGCTTAAAAAGCAAACATAATTGCCAGATAATAAATAAAATATTAATGCAAGTCAAGGCCAATAACTGCATTAAGCAAGTTTCAATAACAACATGAGAAGTTCAGCTGGATTTAGAAGTTCAGTAAATAATTTAGATGAATCATCTAGGTTAACATACAGTAAAAATGTGGACGATTAAACAATGCAGAGTCCTTATTCAACAAAATTAAGAAAGAGTAGCTATAATGGGGGGATTCAGCCATATGAAGCTTCTAATTCACCAATATTTAAGCAGAATGTTAATTTCTCTGAAATAAGGGAAAGGGAGATTGAGGAATCAGAATCTAGTAGAATTCATGGAATACCAGATGACGACATTGAAAAATTGCGCAAAGAAAATGAAATGCTGAGGAAGAATTTGAATAATATGATAGAGAATAAATCTAAAGGACTTGCTTTTGCACACAATGATCAACCATCAGTTTAATACTTTGATTAGGGTAGCCCAAGTGTTACTTCTAATCCTTATCAAAGAAACCTTTATAATTCAGCAAAATTAGATTATGATATAAGCAGCAAAATCCTATCTGAAAATGCAAGAGGCGTTAATTAAACACAATCATAGCACCACAATATCTCGAACTCTATGTAGGTTTAGAAGGAAATATAATATTAAAATCCAAAAGACTAGTAGTTCGCAATGCTTCTCAACGCTGATGAAGAATATTTTAGATAGATTACAGAGGAAGAAGAAGAGGAGGCTGAAAGAATTAGAAAAGAGCAATATAGTTCTAATAGTAGTCCATATAAATAACTTTCTTATCATTAGCAAGTCAAGAAGTTTAGATAAGACAGATAAGATGAAGAATAAAAGATGTTTTCAACCGAGGAAAAGAGAATAAATATATAGAAGAGAATAATAGCAGAGCAGAGAATTAAGGAGAATCCAGGACTAAGAGGAACACTAATGCAAGGGCTAAAGCTTAATCTTGTCAAGTTGTAAAAGCAAAAATATGCTGAAAACTCCAAAAGATCAGCATAAAACTAAACGCCAACAAAGTCAAATATTTAACAGAGAAATAATTAAGCATATCAAACTCCTCAGAAATAAAGATAAGCTTAAGAGCAACAAAGCGTATGATCTAATTATAGTAGAGCTTCGAAATAGAGTTATATGGAAGTACCCTCTTTTGCTTAATAAGTATCAACTAATAAAGAAGATATTGATTACAGAAAATATGCTAGAAAGATATCAAAATATGATATTGATAGAAATCAAGTAGATTATTATAGGCTAAATAAAGAAAAAGAAAAGGATAGAACTGATAATGTAAAAATTAAGAAATTAGAGCTCGATGTAAGACTAGAAACGTAAAAGTAAGAAGAAGCTAAAATGACTTAGTAAAAGATTCAGGAACTGAATTCTATTAAGATGAAATAGGAAAAAGAAAGAAAAGACTTTGTAAGGAAATAATAAGATATGTTCAGAAAAGCCATTGAGGAAAGATAGCAAGTTGATAAGAATTAATAATATCTTTCTCCAAATTACAATCAAAAGACACAACATACTAGACCAGGAAGTGCGAATAGATCATTCCATTCAAACAGTAAATAAGACATAACATAGAGTAATACTAAACAAAATAATTCAGGGGTAAGAACAAGTTAAAATTGGTAAGATGCCAAAATAAATGGTCAGCTAAACAATGACAAGAAAATTAGTAACGCAGTTGTTTCCAAGTTTTATTCTTCTAATGATGTTATTAGATCTGCTGCAAATAATGAAGATGCAAATAATTTAAGTTTTTCAGAAAGGAAAAATGTATAGTTAAACGTTCCATCTTAAAATTCTAAGCGCAGTCAGAACGCAAAGTGACCTAATTAGTAATAGCCAATAATTACATATTCTCCCTTCTTCTCTAATATATTGTCTTCAAAATTTGATTGATTATTAAGTTTTATTTAGTTTTTCATAATTACTTTACAATAAAAATATCACTTTATGGGGTTTTGGGGTTTTGGGGTTTTGGGG